ATCTAGGATTTTATAACTGAAGATGCTAGAAAGTGCATCTTGAATATTCTGCAAGGAAATCTTTTTTCCATAACCAAGTAATGATCTCTCTTCTTATCTTATGAAACCACACATAAGGATTCTTTGCTCTTCTTAAAGAATTTTAGAGGGCCTGGTTGGAGTTCACAGACAGATTTAAACATTTTTCTATTTTTGAGTCCCATGTCAAGATATTCAAAGCAGAATATCAGTAGTGCTGGAGGATACTAGCTTGTGAATTGTAGTAATCCATTTTTTAAATGTATTGTTTAGAGCCATGGGGTGATGTTAATGTTTTACTCTCTAAAATATTTTTCTAAGGTGAGTCCAGCAATGGCAAAGATGGTAAGAAGAAAGTGTGCATTTTGTCGAGATGATGAAGAGAGTGCGATTATGTACATTGCTGAAGGACAGAATCTTGCAGTTCATCAGAATTGTTTGGTGAGGTTTGCTAATGACATTCAAACTGTGTCCACAACTGATTGGAAAACGAAAAAAGATCTGAAGCACTCTTGTGAGGCAATTCATAATTGATACACCTGTTTTTTATGCCATGTGTACTATACTTTTATTGGCAGGCGCTAGTTTCAAGAGTTAAAATTTAAATACTTTCTGGGATTAAAGTAGATTGTAGTACAAGAAGACTATAACTACTATAATTAGTATTTTTATAGTGGTATGTTAAAATCCAGCAGAGATTGTTTAGGAGCAAAAATGACCAGTCCTGGCAATTGCTATAATAAACTACGTTTATTTTTCTGTCCCTTTCCTTATGCCTTTCTTTATGTTCATGTAATCCGCATTTTGCAGACTTTGTTGGCTGTATGCTTTAATTAATTAATTAATATCCTGCCTTTATTATTTTTGTAAATAATTCATGGTGGCTAACATATCTAATACTTTTTTCTCCTCCTATTGTCCCCACAACAACCCTGTTATGTGGGTTGGGCTGAGAGAGAGTGACGCTCAAAGTCACCCACCTGGCTTTCATGGCTAAGATAGGACTAAAAACTCACGCTCTCCCAGTTTCTAGCCTTGTGCCTTGTGTATATGCATCTTTTTATCTATAGACAATGAGAGGAAGAGAGCCTTTTTTCCTCACTTTTTTCCTTGAGGATCAAGGCCCAGAGAGCAGGATTTTCAAGGAATCCCGCTTACCCTGATTCTAAAGCTTCTAGTGTGCTGGCTTTGTTTCTCTTTTTTCCTTTTCCATTGGGAAAACTGATGGCTCCCTAAGAACCTGATTTTGTTCCTTCCCTGATGAAAAAGGTGAACTGTGACTAGAGTTCCAGGGAGAGGAAGGGAACATGGATAGCTTTGTAGTCAGGTGAATCAAGAGGGGGCTCAAAAAGGTTTTTGAAAGTTTTTGGCTAGGAACTTGAGAGGTATGAAGATGTTATACTGGTTGCTCTTTATATCAAGGTTTTCTAAATATGTATACTCTGAAGAAAAAAGAACCACATAGAAACATGTAAGACTTTATAATACTGTGTATTTATCCTAGACTTGGATGTTTATATTTTATATTCTGGTTTTTAGTGCTGCCTTCCTTCCCTTTCTTTTTTAATTCAAAAAAGGCTGTCATCTTCCAATGGAAGGACTGGAGGACTGGAATCCCAGTCCTTACATAGGCAGAAGTAGAAGTGAGAGAATAGGACCAGAAAAAAAAGTATTCAATTCATACTGCAGTTGGATTTAGAGATGGGAAATTTGGAGAGGATATTTCCACAAAACATTTTCCAAATTATTTTCAAGCAAAGTGGTAAACTTATTATAATTAGGTAAACATGTAAAAAACAAGAAAAGGATTAGTCTATTAGTGGGAGAAAGTGACAAGAAGGTGACAAGCAACAGGGAGAAAGCACAACTATTTAACTTGTTTTTTGCATCCATCTTTATACAAAGAGAAAAAACAGTCCAACCTATCAAAAACAGTACCGTAAAAAAACAGATTAGAAACACGTTAAAATAGGCAAGAAAATGGTAAGAGAGCACTGGTCCACCCTAGATGAGTTCAAATCACCAGGACCAGATGGAGTACACCCCAAGATTCTGAAGGAACTGGCAGATATAATCACAGAACCACTGAACTATATTTTTCAAAGATCCTGGAGCACTGGGGAACTACCAGAGGACTGGAAAGAGCTGATGTAGTTCCCATCTTTAAAAAAAGAAAAAAATGGATCCAGGAAATTACAGACCTATCACCTGACCTCAATACCTGGGAAGATTCTGGAAAAGATAATCAAGCAATGAATTAGTAAACACCTAGAGGCAAACAAAGTCAACCAAAAGCTAACATGGGTTTGTCAAAAACAGATCATGCCAGACAAATCTTATTGCATTCTTTGACAAGGTGACAAAATTAGTGGACCAGAGGAATGGTGTGGCTATAATTTACTTGGATTTCAGTAAGGTATTTGATAAAGTAGACCACAACCTACTACTTGATAAGATAGAAAAATGTGGGTTAAACAGCATCACCACCAGATGGATTCGTAACTGGCTGACAAACCACATTCAACATGTAATCTTCAATGGAATTGTATCTACATAGAGGGAAGTATGCAATGGGGTACCCCAAGGCTCTGTTTTAGGCCCAGTATTCTTCAACATCCTCATCAATGATTTGGATGAGGGGATAGATGGGGAACTCATAAAATTTGCAGATGACACCAAGCTGGCAGGAATAGCCAACACTCAAGAAGATAGGCTTAAGATACAGAAGGATATTGACAGACTTGAACAACAAAATGAAATTTAATGGTGAAAAAGTAAGGTTCTACATTTAGGCAAGAAAAACCAAATGCACAGGTATAGTATAGATAAGTGGTACCTTGTTTAAGAGTAGTAACTAAGAGGGATCTTGGAGTCCTAATGGACGATCACTTAAATATGAGCCAGCAGTGTGCTGCAGCTGCCAAAAAAGTCAACACAGTTCTAGGCTGCATTAACAGGGATAGAATCAAAATCATGTGAAGTGTTAATACCACTTTATAATATACCACTTTTTTGAAGATGGGAACCACATCAGCAGGAGATTGCTCAGAGGATCATTGCTGAAAATATTCTTCTCTGCATTAGTCAATAGAAATGAGTGGGTAACCTGGGTAAGAGGCAGAGGGACAGCACTGTACGCTGTACAAAAGCTGTTTTTGCCAACCATTAATGTTTTGTACTACCTCCCAATTATATTCTCAATGTTCTCAAATTCCCATTTGAGGACATGAAGGTACCTATATGCTAGTAACTGCTATTCTTCATATTCTGGCCATATTATTTTATCTGCAAACTTATAACTTCATTATGTCAGAAGTGAAACTGCACAGTACTAATATATCTAGCTCTCAGCAATGGTGGTTTTGGGTGACAGGACCTTATATTAAATGTCTTAGAAGGCTTTAACATTTTTTCTTCATAAAGTCTGTTGAATGTTTTCAAGGAAACTATGGAAAGTGTACGGGATAGGCATAGCAGTTCCAATGGTTAAGTGCTGAGAGTTATATGCTTCCTAATCAGGCAACCATAGGGACACTGATATTTTTTTCCTATCATTTTGGCTCATGCTTTTTTCATTCATTTTTTTTTTTTGAAAAATACTCATTTACCAATTTGCTGAAGTTTTCCTTAACATCATTTAGGATTCCTTCCCTGTATTAGATATGAGACCATGGAGCACTCAGAGTGCTAATGGTTGTTTTTGTGAATGAGTAAACTTACAAAAGAAATTGCTAAAACTTTGTAAATTTATGAGGTAGCACTGATCCCCAGCCAATTCTTGCTGCTATTTTTAATATTTTATTTTGTCATGTCCTCTTGTTTTACATCTTACTTTTCTGATTTCATTTCTAGTTATTTTCTTCAGGATTTGTGGAATCAGAAGAACAGAAGCCTGGGGATCTTGATAAAAGGTTTGACGTGGCTTCAGTAATGAGTGAAATAAAGAGAGGAAGGAAGCTGGTAAGACATTTTTCATGTTTTAAAATTCTAAAGCAGATTTACTTTAAAACATTTATTTTCACATTTTCACATTATTTTCACATCTGGAATTTCCTCTTGAAGGCCTAAAGATTATAATATGAACCAATAGTCTAGATAGCCCCTCTGTCTTATTGACAGAAAGACTTTTGATCTTACTACTGTTTTCTCCCCTATTTAAAACACTGGGAGAGTAAAAAGGTGTGTGTGTGAGGGGGGAACTGACAGAGAAAAATGAATAAAAATAATATGATCTCATCAGTTAACACCTCCCTGCAGAGGAGCAGTGTTATTTAACTGAACTAGAAAACATAAATCTTTAGGGAACCCCAGTTACATAGGCTGTCATCATGAGTAGCAATTAAACAAAATAAGTTTAACAGCCCCTTTCCAATAACAACTATTTGCTATCTAAAAGTGACAAGGCAATACTTTTTCTTATTTAATCCATTTCTGGTCAGGATATTAGTAAATACAACTCACATGTGATTTCATATTCTTGTTACAAAGCAGAGATTACACTTTACTCTACTGTAAATGGTTTAGTTTAAACAGGATCACAGCACAAAAGCCAGTATATGATGGGTGATGGAGAAGAAAATGGGTCTAATGCCACTTCCTAGTTTTATAAACTGCAGTTCAAAAAATAGTTTCAATTTGTTTCAATACAGCGGTGCAAGTTCTGTCATACGAAGGGAGCAACCATTGGATGCGAGATCCAAACTTGTCGCAAAAGTTACCATTATTTGTGTGCCTTTTGTGATGCTGCTTCAGTCAAATATGAAGAGCCAGGACTCTACCGGTATAGAATCAAATGTTTTCTAAAGTCTATTTTAAAATACTTTTCAAGAGAATCCTATATAATTCATTTTTGTTTTGAAATTAATATATGGCAAAATAAGAAAGTAAAAAAAGGTGTTATCTAATGGGTGTATATTATATAACCTATACTAGGTTAGGATGAAGCTTTTTGTAACTGCCAGAGTGAACATTTATACATACAGAAAAGGGATTTCAGAGTGTGAGAACGTCTAAGCTAGCCTGGTATGAGAAGCTGGGATTGGTTGTTAAATTCCAGTATGGTGAATGTAGGCGAGCTTCTACAACAGATGTCTACTCCCAAGGATTTGAGGAGGGCCCATAGTGACTCATAGGAAAAAGGAAATACTTGATAAGTAGAATTGCATTTATCTAATGAAAATAACAGAGAGAGTAACTAAATTTTATTTCTACTCAAAGACCAATTCAAAAGATTGATCTGAATATTATGGAAACATAATAAACAGATATGAGTGGTGAAGGATAAAAAAAATACAAAACTGCTCAAACAATATATTGCATTAAGTGATCCAGTCTGTAAATAAGCAATGGATAGCTATTTCCAAAGCTCCCATTCAGCAATATCAGTAGAACAGAATTTAGCCATCCATCTGCAGATTTTCAGGGAATAAATCAGCTGGTAGAAAAGTACATTCTCATCTATCTAACCATCCTACAAGGATGTTAGATATCAGTGAAATGGGGTAGTACAGTGAAATGTGCATGACTCAGGTCCTCCGAATGGGCAACATTGAACTGAAGATTTATTATATCTTGCCTCAATAAGCATTGGTGGTAAAGCATCAAATCTGGCTAAAGAGAGGTTTCTCTGGCATGACACCCCCCCACACACATATTAATAAAGCTAGGATAAAAAGTCTTCTAATCAGACCTTCATTATAACAATGGGGAATGGAGGTGAGCACTAAAAATAACGTTGATTTAACTTCAGAAAAGTATTATCTGTCCCAAATGGGATATTTTAGATGCAATTCTGTGCCTTTTTTTAGGATGATGAATTTTTCTACTGGATCAGAAGGACTAGCAATCACCCATTGAAATTTCCATAGAAATAAATTTTAATTTAATTCATAAATGGAGTTTGAGACACACTGGGGAACTAGAATTCTTCTTATAAATGATATCATTTCTAAGGATCATAAATCTTTGTAGTTAGAAATAACATAAATAGTCCTATGTTTGTAGTGTAAACAGCTTTAATTTGTTCCTTTCACAGTGCAAATGATAGAGGTATGATTCCAAGTTTTTAAAGGCCTTAACTTGTGCTTTATACTTTTACCGTTTATCTTCCAGCAGTGATTACAGTACAGAAAAGCCACTGCTTTTGTTTTGGCATAACCGACAATCAGTTTTTCCTCTCTGCAATGAAGAACAAGGTCTTGAAAGTTCCTCCTTGACCTTAGTAGCATTGTGGAAAGGATATACTGTAGGCATCCTCAACTGATAGGATAGGAAATGTGTTATTCTTCTTCTGTAAACACTGATTGTCATCTGCTTATTTATTTATTTACAAAAAAAATCCTGATGACTCCTTCTTCTTTGCTGAATCTTTATAAAAATGAAAATATTTGCTTCTATAAGTTTACTTCTCTTTCTGTTTATTACCGGTAGTGTGTTCTGCCAAAAACACATTCCAGTCGAGGGACGCAGTTTTAATGGTATGTATATACTTAGGGAATTGGTTCAAATCTGCTTCTGCCTTAACAAGGGTTCTGAAGTACAACCTGAATCTTTTAGAAAAATATAGCCATTGTTGCAACACTCCTTGCCACTCTTCCATGATAGTGACCAGGGCGGTTAGGGGGTTGTTGGAATGGGAGCTTAATTTCTTTATTTGTTCAATCACATTTGTATAGCTGCCAATCTTACACAGTGTACATGGTTATCAGCAAGTATCTAAAACCATTAAAACAATGAAGTTGAATTAAGATAAAAAGAAACAAAAAATAAAATGGCAGGAAAATATATGGAGAGTGCATTCCATTACTCTCATACAATCATCTAACAGGCCATGGTCTAGCATAATTAATACTAATACTACTAATAATAATAGTCTTATTCCCCAACCTGCTTTAAATGACTCCATATATTATTTATTGTTCATATATAATGTAGGAAGCCACAGAAACCATCCTCCTAATTGTACAGAGCAGGGCCTGGACATCTAACTAAAGTCCTGACTGAAACCATTATTGACAGCAGTTCCTGCTTGTGACTGTTGGTAATATCAACCATGCCAGGCTACATTTATTTTTATTCCAGTATTTTAGATTTTTGTTCTGTTTATACACATGGACAACTATTGTTTGCATGGTTTCTTAGATATTATAACTTGCAAGTACTCTCCTTGCTTCTTGCTTCAGTTTCTTTTTCCATGCCTCAAGCAATCATTTTGGGAAGATGTTTGTCAAGGGAGCCATGGTATAACATCCTTAACAAACATAATTCCAGGGCTTTTTTTCTCATAGAACGCCCAGAACAGAGTTCCGGCACCTTTTTTGGATGGAACCTTGTAGGGTAGGGTAGGCAAGGCGGGTTGTATGACGTGTGTGACTTCCGGCACCTTTTTTTTTTTTTAACAAAAAAAAGCACTGCATAATTCCAGTGTGCTTACATCAGTTAGAACTTAATTTAAGAGTTAAATTCCTGAGCTCTCATGGATCTGCTGGAATTTCTTTCTGTTTTTTTGTCTTGAAGTATTATTTATCACATTATGTGTGATAAAATATCTTGTTTATTTTCTAGATGAAAACAGTAAGAAAGAAATGCTCCTGACCCCGACAGAATCTTCCTCCACTACAACCAAAATGGTAATGAAGGTTGCCTTTTCGGTGTCTCAGTGAGACATTTCTAAAACTTTTGCCGTAGGAGGCCACACTTCTTCACCACCTTTCATTGTGACTCAGGCACACATGGCCTCACCTAGTAGGGCATAATTTCAGATTCTTAGAGCATCTCAAATACATTTTGTTTTTATTTTGACCTGTGTCATTTTCTGACTGAGAACTGTCACTGCTGCTACATCACTAGAGACTGTGATATCCTTGTTGAATATGGAACTATTAAGCCTACTATTAGACACCCACCCACTAAATGCTGTTTGATTATTTCTTTTTTGTTTCTGAAATTTTGAAAGAGGAATGTCTTTTCCAACTAATCCGAGAACACAAGTGGATGAAAGAAAGAGAAATGCCCTTCAGCCCCTACTCTCAATCTAAGAGAAGCTGACAATCTGAGCCGTCTCTGAAGACTTAACAGTTTATGTCTCTACTTTTTTTACTTGAAGTATTGCTACAGTGTCTTTTTGTTTTACTCTTTGTAGTCTGTATGCTGGTACTGCCATCCTGTGTTGTAGGTTTTAAAACATTCTGTTTTACTATGTGAGCATTTCTGAAGGATTTTTAGTATAAAAGTTTTATCATCAAAACAATTTAGGATCAAAACTTCAAAAAACTTCTAAACGTCTTCTAGAAACAAGACTTACTGTAATTATTTTACTAATAAATGATGTATAAATGATTAAATATAAGTTTAGATTACTTGGGAAGAATTTAGTTTAATTCTCTGACTTTATTAAAAATGAACATATAGCGATATGAGTTATATCAGTAATCTGGGCCTTTTATAACTGCTATTTAAAAAAAATATTGGCAGAATGATGAGACAGTTGGGGAAGAGAACATGGAAGTCCTCAGTGAAAAACATGACCAACACAAAGGTAAAACATTTGTTATATTTGTCAGTTGTTAGAATTCCTAACATAGGGGAGGTGGGTTATTATTTACTTCTATCTTAAGGCAGTTTATGCAACTTTCTCACCTATAGTTAACAAATATCGTTATAGATAGCATCTCCTTTCTTAGAGGAGATCTTCAATTCTCCATTAATGGCGAATTATGGAGATGATGTTCTATCTTCATTCCTGCATATAAGTCTGTAACATGAAAGAGTTGATCTATTTGGCTCAAGCAGATCAAGCTGAGATGTTTAGATGGGGAGGGTGCTGTTTCTCTTGAAAAAGCCTGCCTAAACACACTGGGCTGGACCAGCTTTCTTGTCGTTTCAGTTAATGGCTCAAAAGCCTCCTGCTAATGGAAAGAAAATTTTCATCTGGGACGATTTTGCTGGACTCGGTCAATAGTTTCAATTTAATTATCTTCTATTCCTAATTGCCTCCTTGTAATAAAAGCCTAAAGATCTAAAATATTAAAAGGCATGCTTCAGGTCTGTCTAGAAGGGAGTGTAATCTGCGGGGCCTCGGAGGATGTTATGGTGTCATTCCCTGGAGATTTGTCCTGCCCCAACTTTTCTTGCTTTCTGCAAGATCTTAAAAACCTGGTTGGTTGGCTAGCTATATTTTTACTTATTTAATAATCTTTTATCTTTTTTTATTTTGTTAGTCACCCAGAGTCCTATGTTTTGTTTTGTTTTGTTTTGTTTATACATTCATTCATTGAAAAATAAAATAAAACAAAATAAGGAAATAAAATAAGGAAATCAGGCATTTTCTTTTGGCTGTTTCATTTAGAAATCAATCTGTTGATCTCTTTGAGAGGAACATTCCTGATGCTTGTTCACCATCACACACACACCCTTTTATTCATAATGTTTTCTGTCTTTATGCCTTGAAAATAATTGTTGTTATTGGACAGTGCTTCACTGTGCCAGATGAACATGAAATTAAAAATATAAATTGCAAATCATTGTATTTCTCTTTCCACAGAAAGGATAGAATTTTTAAAGAAGTGTAAGCAGGCTGGAATTCTGGCTGAAATCTTTGAGAAAATGTTAAACACTCTTCATCTGGCTCAGGAAAAGCTGACAAAAGACAATACTTCAGAAGCAGGTATTGTAAAGCATGTGGAATTCTCTATTATCTTGAGATCTCATATCTGAGAGGTTTGGTCCCAAGGGTACTGTTGTGTCACCTCACAGTCTACGCTTCTCAGAGATAAATGTTTCTGGTCCCTTTGCAGTTTCTGATCCTCTTATCATCCTCTTTCTCCCCTGAATGCATCCAGTTCGGTCTAAATAATTCTTACAGAGTTTATTTTATCTGCTAATCATGCATGTGAAAAAGATCTTAGAACAGCGGTTGACTGCAAACTAAATATAAATCAATGGAGTACATGGCTTAAAAATGCAAATGCAATTTTAGTTTGCATCAAAATAATTATATTTTCCAAATCATAGGAGTAAATAGTTCTGCTTTATTTTTCATTGGTCAGTTCCCCTTAATGACCGCAACAAAGATTGCTGGAATTACCATCACATGATGTAAGTGGTCACATGATGTTTCACTTCACCACCACTTCACTTAGTAATAGTTACTGGTCCCCATTAGGGCTGTTAAATAAGGACCTGCTGTTCTATTCCTTCTTAGTATAAACTGTTAGCCTTTTGCATCTTCTTTGAACAACTTATATGCCAATTCATTTAGTGTCCTTTCTGTTGTTCTAAGCTTTCTAGACTTCAGCTTGTTTTTCCTCTATATGCAAAGCTAACTATCTACCTGTTTGTATTTCTTGCTGACCAGACTTTCCTGTTTCCTACATAATTTTTGTTTTCAGACTTTCATTAAGGGTTTTCTGTAGACCCATTGGGTTCTTCCTCTGCCATGTCACCAGAATTGTTTGAAATGTTTTTATTATTTCTTTTTCATACTTCCACAAATTTTGTTTTATTTCTCCTCAGCTTCTCCTACTGTAAACTTAAATGCCACTTTTTTGAAGTGAACAGGCTATTCTCAACTTGACATTAGCCAATAGAAAATGGCTGATGCCAGGTCTATATAGCTGATAGGGAAATCTGAATAAGTTTATGACTTGATCATTCCTCAAATTGTCTGGTCCCCAAACATACATTAGCAAATTGCCTAAGTACTTGTTCTCCTGGCTTTCCTTTATTTTCTGAAGAGTATTGTCACAAATTTTATGGAAGGTCCTATATGGCTCTTTGAGAGATTTTCATTTAGAAACTATTTTGCAATGCTTTGTTTCTGCTCTCTAAATGTTAATATTTTATGTCAGAATCTACTTGTCTTGAAAACATTATTCTAATTTAAAGATTATTGATCTGGATTTGATTCTTTCATGTTGCCCTTTTTAAGCATGTTTGATGTTGCATATTCCTTTAAAATTATTTTTCTTATTTGAGTTGCCTTAAAGAAAAGTGTTTTCCATATAATTATATAAAAACATTTTATTTAAGGATTATAGGAGTACACCTAAAATGTAGTCCTGACATTCCAACTGTTGTAAGAATTGGTGAATTTATGTTTAAGGAACAAATGAAGTGTCTATTCTACTTTCCTTTATTGTTTACAATGTAAATTCTCAATAAATACATATAAACATCTTTAAAAGTCTCTTGCTATATGATGTTTCTTTCACAATAATGTCAAAAGATATAAGAATGTTTTGAATTTAGATGCAACTTCAAGTATAGTAAAGATAGGTGATTTTAAAAAATACTTCTGATTATCATCATGCATGTTTTAAAAAAAGTTTGTGCTTTTGAAATCAGCATTATTCTGTCTATCCTTAGAGTATGAAGAAACAGTCATGTCACTTTTTGATTGTGGTCTCTTTGAAAATATTCTTAGAGTGGCTTATTCAGGTATGTATGAAGCAAAATGTAACAATTACAGTTTGTAGAACCAAGGCTATTCCTTTTAAACTAGTTAAGAATATAAATAGGTACAGATAAGAATGCAGTATTATTTTTATCACTATGTTTCTTTGATCATGTCAGTCATTTGATCTAGAAAAAAACTCAGCAAAAACATCCAAACAATACAGTGAAACCACCATTTAGCAGATTTCAGATGCTATAGTACAAACCAATTTTTCTACCCAACCCTTTCCACAAAATAACAAAGCATTACTTTAACTATATGGCTTCAGTGGCAATTTATAATGATATATAGATAATGCAAATATTGCAATTTGCATAATTTAATATCATTTGTATAATAATACAACCGGTGCAAATAGACACATTGACACAACTTTTATAGACGTTTGATGCTAATGGATACTTTATTCATGTAAATGATCCAGTAAAACAAAATTTAATGATATGCTTTGCCTGCCTTACAAAGGATGGGGACTATTTTATTGCAAATAAATACTGGTGCTTTGTGCCAATTCTGTCTCATTCACTTCAGTTGCAGTCTTAAACTGACTTTATGTGACTTTGTGGAACAACACTTTTGACTGCTGTACTTGGTTCTACCAATCTGGAGGGGGGGGGAAAGCTCTTGGTACCCTGTTTCTCTGCTTAAAGTGCATCTGGTTGCTATTCTTTGAGAGTTACATAGAGTATCTCTTTTACACAATAGTTATACTTTGACAGTTTTTAACAAACAAGCTTGTGGGTTTTGTTGTTTCTGTTTTGGGGGCAGATGGAAAGGGGAACGAAGGAAGGGAGGGAGGGAGGGAGGGAGGGAGGGAGGAAGGAAAGGAAGGAAGGAAGGAAGGGCAATCATAGAAGAGACAGCCTGGCAAAAGTAATGGATGCCCGCCACCACTGTCCACTCAAAGATGCAATGATTGACATTTTCTGTGAAGGACCGTAGCCCTTATATTTCCCCAACCTTGTTCCCCTTATGGCATTGGTCATCTAAATCTATATACTTTAATAGTAACTTGTCTTGACATTAATACTTTTTGAGCCATCTTTGATATGTTGCTAATCTTGAGAACTGATTTTAATTTATACAGGAACAGAGAGAAAAATTCAAGAACTAATGAATACACGGGAAAGACTGGATACTCAGATTGAACTTTTAAGAAATTTAAAAGAAATACCACTTCCTGTCTCAGAAGACACAGATTAATACTTTAAGTACTGTCTCTGAATAACCCACCACGATTAAAATGATCATTGATTTTTTTTCCAGGTCACTTTTATACAGGTTAACTGTTGTTTTTCCATTTTTACAGTTGAGACCTTTTTGATCTAGCCAATGTTTTACCATTAGTTTTAAATTGGAATGTATACTTCCAGGATTATAGCTTCAAATACCTTCCACTAGATGAAAATTCATGGAAGAAAGTGAGTGAATTCATCATATGCACTTCATTTGCAATGGTAATAACATACCTCTGTAAATCACTCTGGTTTTGCTTTACGGTTATCTTACAGTAGAGCTACCAGTGGGTTAGGATGATCACTAGAGGATAGCAAAGTAAGACCAATACCCAAGACTTTCCTGCCACTTAATGGTCATTCAGGTTTTGCAATTCAGACTTGTAGTGTATCTGAGTGTATATAATATCTCTTATCATATACACTCATTTAACTTCCCAAAGAAACTGCCCTTCCTGCTTCATGTTTTACTAGACAGATTGTGCAGAGATATACACTTATTGTTAACTATGTTAATGAGGCCAATCTACATAAATTTCAGAAGGTTGTTTCACATCATGTAAAATATTTCAGCAAACCTGCCTGTCAGGTCCCCAAATCCTTGTTTTTCTTGCATATATACTGTTGTTCTCATTTTGGGGCCTGCCATTCTGCTGGGGGAGGGGTATACAGTGTATCCCTCCATTATCCATTTTTTCCAGGTTTTATTAATTGTAAGACGGCAGTGCGGTGATTTAAAAAATAAATTACTGAATGTTGGACTGCTTCAAAAGAGAAATTTGACTTTAATTCAACTTCTGAAGTGTGAGCCAGTTCAGCATACTGCAGTTTTAACATGGACAAATCAGGGTAAGTTCAGAGAAAGACAATAGTAACAAAGGTAGCACAAGAAATACATATTTCCTCCCGCAGACAAGGAAGCATTAAATCTCATGTTATGATAAACGAGATTAAAAGGCTGAGTGACCCTATTATTAAAATAATCAATTTGTTCTCTGCTGCTCAAAAGCATAAGTAGTAGTAACAGCTTCAGATTTTTAAAAAGACAGATGAGCTAATTCCATTTTAATAGAAATTTTTAAGCAGGAAGATTGTCAGAAATCTATGGCAACAGATATGCACAGCACAGGTTTTACGCATAAAGGTCCTTTCAGCTCACCTGATTCTGGCAAGGTAAGAGAGAGAGAGAGAGAGAGGGAGAGGAGGAGGGGGAGAGAGAGAGTGCGTGCGTGCGTGTCCTTCAGTCTTCCAAGAAGTGATTTCAGTAAACCACCCATAAATGAGCAGCACCAAGTGAGACTCAACCATCAGTCATTCCAAGGAGAGAGAAGCATAACTCATCGCATACGAAAATTGAAAGATCAAACTCTTCTATAGCAAATACTCCAAAAGACTTTATTAATACCTTTTCTCATTTATTCACATTTTGGAATTGCTGCACAGATAATTAACTTCCTAACTTCATTCCAACATTTTTGGTGAAAAAAGGAGTCCATCCAGAATGCCATAGTCTTCATATAAAGATGATTTAGTGCACAACTTTAATATAGTTTAGAGGTTACAATAGGCAGGCACCCATTTTATTATATAGTTTATACATAATTGCAATGCAAAACAGCTTTCCAACAGTCAATTACTTAGAATTATTTAAGTCCACAAAACAAAACAATATTTAATTCTTTTCCAAACATAATACACTACAAAGGAAATACAAAAACAATAATTCCAATTTGTTTAGGAAAAACAAATTGGTTCTTCAACATTTCAAGTTATTGTATAACTCAATGTACTTACAGCGCAAATTTATTATATCCCACTGAATTCAGTGAGACTTATTCCCAGAAAGACGTATAGAGAAATGAAGCATTTTTCACAAATTCTTCTCAAATGACGGTGCAAATTTCATTCACATATATACAGAGAGGATGATTCCTTTCTCAAAATTCCCTTTATTCCATACAAGATATTTTGCTTCCGGTTGCTATCAGAGTGCTTCAAAAGAACAAGAGGTACCACAATGTGATTACAAACAGACTAACAATCTCTGACATTATTTTGGCTATTTCTCCTACCCACCCCATCTGTTCTGATTTTCTCAAGAGTTTCTTAAAACAGTAAATAGATCCAACTCTTTGGAGTAACAAAACCCAAGTAAAGTGCTTGCTACTTATTTTGGAATCCCTTTAAAAGCATAGCTGTTGGGCATGTGGTTTTGTACTGCAGGTACAAAACCTACAGTACAGGTACAAAACCTGCAATATAATTAATTGGACCTATGAGAAAAAGGCATGAAATCACATCAACTGTGGCGATATAGTTCCAAACAAACACACCTCTCAGTTCTTAAAGGCTCCATATTTGCTGGCTTTAGCAATGAATTCCTTTAGCAGAGAACCATCCATTTGCCAGAAGGCAGCTGTCTGGGTGACTTCAGTCAAGTGATTGATACAAAACTTAAAGCAGAATTCTTCTAAATCCTAGATAGAAAACAAAAAAACCTTTACACCTATTCAAAAGAAGTTTTAAATCAAAACATCCAATATTACCAATGCTGAAGAAAGTATTACCAACATACACAACTTTTGTTATTTTCAAATAGATCATTCTGCCACTTGTTTTAGCCACAATAGAAAAAGGAAATATTTTCATTTTACCCATCTTAAAATCTTTTTCCATGTAGGTGGAAACACAATTTGAAGTAGGTATAAGTAGCTTTAAGTGATCACTTTTTAAGTACTTTATTTTCAGATTCTATTACTTTATCTTTCAATTACAAACTACTTCAAGGTGGACTATCTGGATTGAAAAAATCTTATCAACAAACAGGTAATGTATTTGGTATTAAAAAGAGAATAAAATTATGATGGGGCAATTTTTTCATATTCTTAATGCTGCAGAAAAACTACCTTTTTAATAGATAAATCATCCCTAAAACTTCACATATTTTCTCTCATGACACACTTGGAACAATTTGCCATAACACTGGAAAGAATTCTTTGGGCAGATGTGTCTGTTCTAGCTCCTTCTCTTCATTTCCACCACTAAAATGCTTATTATTTGATAATGCATGAAGAGAATTGTGATGGCCTCCAATGGTGGTTTACTATGTGTATAACACAAAGGAAAAAAAGCCTGTACTTTGGCAATGAGATATACCCACATCTCCAAGGATGTCGTGGAGTGAGCCCTACAAAGGAGTTTTGACACTCATTGGGGGTGCACAGCATGAGCTGAATTACATCTTAGACTCTTATGTAACCTTACATTATGTAAACAGGACTGCATTCCACAGAGCCCAAGACTCAACCCCTTAGTCTTGAATAATGTTATTGCTCCTGAGGTAAAGTCCAACTGGTCAGAAAGTAGTAATATGGCTAGACACTAAGTTGAGTCTCAAATGCTAAATCACCCAGGAATTCACAGAATGCAAACTGATGAAGATACAACATTGCTAACAAACCAATTTTTGTCATTCTAATACATTTTGTTGCTCATGTCTATCACCCAAGATGACTCTCCAAGTATGTCTTCATATATTCACCTCAAGACATTATCACCCAAATAAATACTCCCAGGATAGTACTCTAATTTCCCACCAGTATTCATCCAATATATATGCATACAGAGATACTCCTTCTGACTTCCACCTCCCCTCTTAAAAGTCATGTTGTGCCTGGGCTGCTTCACTGCTTCCCTAGCAATTCCCAAGGCGCATTGGAGAGGGCAGATTTTAGGGGACACCTAATTACCTCTGCATCATAGCGCACTGCTGCAGAGAGCAGCGAGAAAGCATTCTCCACTGTGATTCCTCTTTTGATGAGATGCTGACACAGTTTTTTCAGTCGGTTTTCACAGTATGATGTAGCTAAATCCAGAAGCCCTGAAATTAAGATTTTAATTAAATTAAGCAGAATCTCATTGCACACTGATCATACAGTATAAAAAGGTACATTGAAAATGTAAAGTCTTTACACATCTTAGGAGGCAGAGTTCACCAGAAAAGGCTGTTAAACAGAGACAGGCATATTCAGTCCACTGTCCCTTTTCACCCGGCTCTGGCAGCTTAATGGAAGGTAGACTGAAGAGGCCTGACTGATATGTTCTTTTGATCTCTTTCCGTTAACTGCTTTGTGCCAGGATGTGGACAGCTCCTACAACTAATGCAATATACAGTCATCTAATGTGCAAAAGTCTGAGTTTAATTCCCAGCAGAAAGCCTGAACCCATATCTTATATCTAATCGGCAAGGTACAGACACAAATTCAGCAAAATAATGGCACTTTGGTGTCTCAGTTCACCATAGAACAGAACTGCAAACTGAAAAGGCAAGATAGAGGCACCAAGAGTTGCTAACATCTGTGGTAAGATGATACCATCTCCCTCTCCCACTGAAAAATGAAAACAAAAATTTATCCTGGATACTTAATTTCCCAACATATTTTTGCCAAAGATTCCACTACTACCTATAGCATCTTCAGGTGGCAAGTCAACATTGTCGGTGTATAAGTACTCAAGAAAAGCACGATACACTGGGTAGGAAAACTGATCTACATCTATCACTTCCTTCTCGTCTTCATTCCAATAGGACTGGAACATAGTACGGAAGTGCTCACATCTGCAAGAAAAAACACTGATAAACTTCCTCCAAATTTTTCACATTACATCAAGAACAGAAGAAATAAAAGCTTAGCAACGGAAGTTCAGTCCCAACTGTGATTATAAGTTGAAGACTACCTGTACACCACAAAAGAAGTGTCAGCATCTTATAGACTAAAACTGATACATTAAACTTCCAAAATATCTTTTTTTCTGTGGAGTATTTGGTGTTCTCCGAGTATGGTTGTTTGCTTGCAAACATTTCATTACCCAACTAGGTAACATCATCAGCGCAGGTGATTTGTTTATATACAGTAGCTTGCTCTGTTAGTTTTGGTGGGGATGTGATTTTCTCCCTAGTAGTTCCCCAATTAAAATATTGTTTTTGGTTTGTTTGATGATAATCCCAGTGTTAGCTGCTGAGGAGGATGTGTCTTTGACTTTTTGTTTCCTTCTTAGCTTATTTCTCTTTTGAATGGTTATAAATATGGTTTATTTTTATTTGTCTGTTGATGGCTGATTTGTCTGAATGCCAAGCTTCCAGAAATTCCTTAAGTGTTTTTGGATTTAGTTTGGTCTACCTTTACCTTTTTTCTACATACTGATTTTTCAATCAGCCTAATTTTTGATTTTTATGAATATTAATTTGGGTCAGCTATTCAGTATTAAAAATTCACATATCTTTTAAAAATACCAGTTCAATCATATTCACAACAGTTAACATTGTGATTCTTCCTAATAGCTATGAGTAATTAAAGCTATATTTTATATCGAGTATAACTATAGCCTCAAAATGAAAGTTTATCCAATGCTTTTAATTTTAATCAAATTCAAAGTACCTATTGAAGTATTAATCCATCCTTAATCTTATTTCAACATCTATCACATATTAGGCAATTAAAAAGAATGTAAAAATGGCAAGTTCATTAAAGATGCATAACAAAATATAGTAGCTAAATTAGTAAGATGATCTAGGCATTTCTTAACCATCTGGATGATTAGTTATAAACATTACCTGATTTTTAAAACGGCTTTATGTACATAAATAAATTTTCCATCCACTCTAAACTTTAGATCTGATGTTTCAGGGCTATCAAATTCTTTCTTCAGAGACTCTGTCACTGTTAAAAATTCCTCATGCTCTGTAAAACACCAAAAGAAATAAGAGTCTATTCATGCCAGGATTCAACAATTTCACACACAAAAGTGTATAGTATAGCTTTCATCAACACACTACTTCATTTAAATTTATAATGGAAATATGATGATATCAACCTTATCAAAAAAAATTGTGTTCCATGTAACTGGGCAGATCTGAAATATAAAACAAGTCTGATTCTAGAAGGGAGTAATTAAAAACAGAATAATGTGGCACCTTACGTTTTAACAAAACCAATACAGTTTAATATTTGGGGTACTATGGTTCCCATCAGAAGCCATGATTCATGGTTTTTTTAAACTATCAGTATTTTGGTATTTAGGTAGGTAAATCAGATTTGTCATAAATTACACCATTCTCCCTACTCTTCCAACTGCCTGCTGTACAGGAACAAGCAGCAGCATGTGAAAAGCCCTTTGACTCGTTCACAACACTTTAGTTCCAATTTTTTATAAAAGTCATAACTTTGATTTTTATGGCAAGTTAAATTCACTATATTCCAGCTCTACAAACAGGATAATTTGATGAGTATTCTGTGAACATTATTTCCTGATCACGAATGTATAAAACCTCAAAAACACAAAAAAATTATATGCAATATACCTGCATATAAATTCAGACAAGTTATAGGCATTTCCCACATCTGTCCAAGAACACTTAAAACGGTTCTGGGAATGAGGATTGTGTGGGAAAAGTGCTACTGAAAGCCAAAGCCATGAGTATTAATACTATTTTTATTGCAAGATCACAGCCTTTTGCAAGTCTGAAAGCACTTCCCTTCTCCCCAGTCTTTATATACTGGAGAAGAAGGGAGGGTCAATTGTGAGATGCTTTCTCAAACTCCATTCTTCGTTGAGGCTCTGATTTTGTTTATAAAAAAAAAATTGTCGAGACTGCAGCTCTTCCTCTTTTCTGTCAAGATTATTGTCACAGGCCATTACAGGCCTCTCCCACACAACCATCCATGGCTATCAGAAATTTTCACTTTTGCATCTGACATTAAGTGAAACTAGCTCTCACCAACGGAGAGGAGACGCCACATCACAGCAGGAGTGGAAAAGCAAGCAAACACATCATCTGTGCAGGAAAAGTGGGTAACATGGGGCAGGACCACCGACTGCCCCCGACATTGGCCCCACATGTACACTAAGCCACTCTGTGTCTTGGCAGCAGATGTGTGAGTAGAATGGCAAGCGGCAATCTCGACGACCCTACACAAGGACAAAAGCAAACCACAAGTATTCAGCCGCAGAGATGTCACGTTTGTCCTGTTGTTCTTATGCTGGCTAATCATTTGGTGGCTGATTTTACTTTCACTATCATTTTGTTCCAAAACTCAGTATAGTCTTGAAGGTTAGTTACCTCCCACAGATAATATACTTACCGAGTAAAGAAAATGAAGATAAAAACGTATAACAAAAAATAAAATAAAGCAGAATAGAATAGACTAGAATACGTAAGTGACCTGTGAGCTCTTATACATGGGAATGTACGTTTCTGTGACTAATAATACAAAAAAAGATGCTGTGACCCTAGAAAGTATACAGAGAAGAACAACACAGATGATAAGGGTCTGGAGGCTGAACTAATTAACAGTTAAGGGCACTAGGTATGTTTAGCTTAGGTATGTTTAGCCTTGTTTGTCTTCCAGTACTTCCAGTCACAGAAAAGAGGAGGAGTCAACTTATTTTCCAAAGCACCTGATAAGACAAGAAGCAGTGGGGAGAAGCTCGTTAAGAGAATTCCAACCTGGAACTAATGACAAACTTCTTGCCACCAGGTGTAGTGGATGCTTCATCATTTTTCAAAAGAAGATAGGACATCCATTTGACTTGGATGGTATAAAGCTCCTGCCTTGAGCATGGGGTTGAATTACTAGGTCCCTTCCAGCCCTATTGTGAAGAACTCAGTTAAGGACCTGCCTTTCCTTCACCATCTTAATCCTTTCCTCTTCAGATTCAGAGAACAAGTTTTTTCCTATGTGTGTGTGCTAATGTTTGTGCTTACAAACAATCCATAAACAGAGTCACTTGATCAAGTTGGGCAGCTATGGAAATTGAATAAATAAATAAATAAAACACAAATTTTCTATATATTTTTCAGATTTTTTTAAAAAATATTTCCCCATCCAGCTGTCTACAATTTATTTAAGCAACTGGTGGGTGATGGTAAGGATTATGGTTCCATATATCTTTGGGCATGTGGGATATAAAATAAGTAACTAAGGGGGCCTTGCTTCATTGCACTTGTCAACTTTATCTTTATCTTTTATTGATTTGATGGCAATTTATTTGACTGTTGGGAGTCTCCCAGGGGCACCCAAGAAGCCCAAGGCAGCTGATAAATAGCTTTGGAGATAAACTGTTTCTTAGGGTTCAACTTTTTCTCACAAGAAAAAAAGAAGCTGGTGAGAAAGATTTGAAGAGTGGGGAATGATGACTGGTAATTCTAGGCACTCTGAAGCATTGAAATGCTTGTCCAAATGATCCTGGGACAAGACTCTTGAAATATCCCTGGGTGGCCCCTGGCTACAGTCCAGAGAAGATGGAAGTTGGCTGCAAGGGAGAGACAGCCTTTGGGGCAAAGGAAATCAGGTGTTGGCAGCCCAAGAGAAATTGCCTGATGGCAATTAATATCCTAGCTCAGTGATGGCGAACCTTTTAGAGACCGAGTGCCCAAACTGCAACCCCAAACCCATTTATCGCCGGGTGCTGGGGGGCATGGTCAACTGGGTGGCCGTGGCCGTGGTGGGTGTGGCCACCTCAATGATGCTTGTGGGGGGAGGGATGTCTGTGGGGGCCGGGCAGGGTTAGGGGAGATCCAGGGGGTCTCTGGTGGGTGGGGTGGTGGGCCGGAGGCTCATGCTGCAGGGTGAGGTGAGGCGAGGCAGGGCGGGTGTGCCAATCGCCACGGGGCAAGGCAAGGCGAGGCAGGGGCTGGAGCAGCTGCTGCCTGACACCATCGGCCCCCACACACAGAGGCCAGCAAACGCATGGGGGCTGACAGTGTCCGTCAGTAGCCACAGCCTGCTGGCTGTCCTGCATCATGGCAGCCCCATCGGCTGGGCAGAGACGGTCCCGGGATAGCCGGAAAGGAGCCTTCACCTGGTGCGGGCCCTGTCTACATGGTGGCTCTGTTGGGGGCAGCGGCTGCTGCTCCTCCTACTGCTTTTTTTTTTTTTTTTTTTATTTCATTTATACCCCTGAGCCCCTTGACTGGCCAACCACACAGGGAAGCAGGAAGCGGCGGCAGTGATCCCTGCATCGCCAAGCTCAGCCAGCAGCAGATCTGGAAGCGAAGCTGTGCCGCCCATCCTCGCGCTGGTGGAGGCAGGATGGCTGGAAGGAAGCCCTTGCCCGGCCTGGGCCCATCCACTCAACGGCTCTGACGGGGGTGGCTTCTATTGCTGCTCAGACCAGTTAACCATGCAGGGAAGCAGGAGGAGGTGGAGGGGTAGCCGGGGGTCTGGAGCTGCCTTGGTTGCTCGCTGGCAGCCCGATGAGGCAGCAGATCTCACGCACCAGCTGTCCCTCCTTCCCTGCATGGTTGACTGGTCGGAGCAGCAGCAGAAGCCGCCTCCGTCAGAGCTGTCGAGTGGATGGGCCGGACTTCCGGCCATCCCGGCGCCGTCACCGCTCGCACCAATGGGTCTCCATGGCCAGTTTGCCATTATGCAGGACAGCCAGCATGCTGTGGCTGCTGACGGACACCGTCGGTCCCCATGTGCTCGCTGGCCTCTGTATGCAAGGGGCGATGTTGTCAGGCAGCAGATCTGGAAGCGAAGCTGTGCCACCCATCCTTGCACTGGTGGGGGCGGCAGCGGCGGGGGAAGGCCCGATCTGGCATGTGCCCACCTGCTGCTGCCCCACATTGTCCCGCATGTGCCTCCGGGCTGTGCGTGCAGGACGATGTGGGGTAGCAGCGGGGAGGGAGGGCATGCGCTACAGCTCACCTTCGCCTGCCACTGCCTCCACCAGAGCGAGGATGGGGGGGAGTCAGGAAGAGGCTTTTTGTATTACATGTTGGATTATTCCCCCTGAACCCAAAGCCTTCATTAACAAATTGCATGTACCAATCTGTTTTCCAAAGCCATGAATTGGAGGTAGCTGATAGAACAACCCTATTCCCAGCTCACCAAGCATTGGCTGCAGTGGCATTTACCTCTCCTTTTCCATCATGATTTGCACTGGGCTGAGATGGTTGCTTTTGTTGCCAGTCCCCAACTGCCCATAAGTGTTTGCTCCCCAGGCATACAGTAAACCCTCATCTGTTAGTGCTAGCGTGTGTGCATAGCCACAGACAATCTGCAAATAAGTTTGTAAAGAAGGCAGGAGTTAGTATACATACCACTCCAGGATAGCAGTGAAAGGAGTTTATTCACTGAAGCATAATACAAGCTGCATGCTTGATGTGCTAGAAGAGAAACCCTTATAGGAGGCATAAAAGCTTCAGTTATTATTAACAGTTTTGTACCATACTTAGGTATCAATTGGCTAGTCTCTAAAGGCTGATTGGTAATTCTTCAATACAAAATCTATACCACTACTAGGGCTGTGCACACTTCCACAATTATCAGGGGGAAACGACCTCTAGCACAGTGGTTCTCAACCTTTTTAATGCCGCGACCCCCAACCGGTCGTAAGTCGAGGACTAAACCGGTCGTAAGTCGAGGACTAAACCGGTCGTAAGTCGAGGACTAAACCGGTCATAAGTCGAGGACTACCCAAACGGTCGTAAGTCAAGGACTTTCCCTGCCCGGGAGCACCGCCCATGCGTGGTTCCGCCCCCTGTGCCGGCTGAGGCGTAGCTGGCAAGCGGCAGAGACTGAGCAGGCCGACCACCAGCTGGCCCAGCCCAAGGGAGGTAAGGCACCCGCTGGAAAAGGGAAAAAAATGGTGGACAGCCTTGCTTGGCGACCCCCGTGAAATGGTCGATCGACCCCAAATGGGGTCCCGACCCATAGGTTGAGAACCGCTGCTCTAGCAAACACAGCATCTTTTTGCTCTTCATGAAATCTTTTCCAGGCTCCCAGATGAGACTGAAAAAGGATAATTAAGAGTCACCTTCATTTTAATGGGTGGATTCCATTAGGTAACAGCTTCCTTTTACAATCTCAAAATCTGGAAAATGTAGGCTGCCTTAATGAAGAGCAGAGATGAGGCATTTACAGGAGGTCTGCAGCACTTACAGGTAGTTCTTGATTTAGAACTGCAGCTAAATGATCATTCAAAGTTACAACGAACTTGAAAAAAGTTAGTTGCAACCCATCCATGAAGTTATGGCAGCTGCTGCACCACCCTTGAAGTCATATGTTTGCATTTTGGGTGCTTGGCAGCTGGTTTGCAATTATAGCTGTTTGCAACATCCCACAGTCATGTGATCCCATTTTGCAACATTTTTATCATTTTCCAGCAAAGATGCCATTGGATAAGCTGGATTTGAACGTATGACTATGTGACGCAGTAACTCGCTTAACATCGTAAAAAGTTGTATAATTGAGTCTGGTCATGGTAACTCAACTTACAACTGCAATGACTTATGACCAGCATTCCTGGCTCAATTATAAGTTGAGGACTACCTGTACCCTTAATTGTTCCTGCTAGTGCCTGTTATTACTGAAGCCAAGACAATCAAACATGCTGGAAAAGCTGAACACACAAAATATTCAAGAATGTGTACACTGAATGCCTGCACCACAGCTCTGATTTTGTACTTCAGATACTACATGTTGTTTATTATGCAGATTCCAAATGAACAGCAATTACTCTGCCAGGCAACAGCACAGACCAATCAATGCTCAGTTCTTGTCACAAATGGCATACTTAAGCCGTAGAAATTCATCAGAGCCATCCATAATGAACAGAAGAGAAGGATAAGATTTCTTATAGAGTATGATGGGCAAAAGATAAAGGCCAAGGGACTAAAACTGATTTGGCTACACCTAATTTTGGTCAAGCTTTCAGGAAACTTTTCATTTGCTCTAAATATTCCAAGATCATTCTCCAGGATCATTTAAGAATGCAGCTGTCTGCACAGTTTAAAAACAAAACATTCAACGTGCATAACTTCCTATCCACTTATTAAAAATACAGAACTGGAAGAGATTAGTTGGGTAGAGGTTACACTGCTCTTTTCTCCTTAACAATGAATCTTCCCAAGATTAGGGACAATTTCCCAACAATCATTCAAGAAACAGAAAACAAAGATCTCTATACTCACCTGCATTACACACACCCCTTGAAGAGCTGCCACCCGGCATGGAGTTAACTGATTGCCATTATTTCCCAGACCCAGTTGTCCATTGCCATTGTAGCCCCAGCCATAGACCTGGAGTGAGAAGGAGGTTAATTAACCATTTACATTATTTGTATCCAAAGAGCTCCTGTTCTGGGAGAATAGAATAGAGCTGGAAGGGAGAAGCAGGAGCTCAAGCAGGAGAACCTACACCATCTCAGACAGGTGAATGTTTAGTCTCTTCTTAATAATCTCCAGTGATGGAGCACCCATGATTCTGGGGGTAAGCTGTTCCACTGGTTGATTGTCCTCACTGTCAGGAAGTTTCTCCTTAGTTCCAGGTTGCTTCTCTCTTTGATCAGTTTCCAACCATTCTATCTCATCCTTCCCTCTGGTGCTTTGGTGAACAACCTGGCCCCTCTGCCTTGTGGCAGCCCCTCAGATACTGGAATACTGCTATCATGTCTCCCCTATTTCTTCTTTTCTTTAGACTAGTCAAACCCAGCCCTTCTTCGTATGTTTTAGTCTCCAGGCCTTTGAACATCTTAGTTGCTCTTCTCTGAACTTTTTCCAAACTCTCAACATCTTTTTTGGGATATGGTGACCAAAATTGGCTGCAGTATTCCAGGTGTGGTCTTACTAGGGGTTTTATAAAACGGTACTAATACTTCGTGTGATCTTGATTCTATGCCTCTGTTTATACAACCCAGGATTGTATTAGCTTTTTTGGTTGCTGCTGCTGCACACTGCTGGCTCATAGTCAAGTGATCGTCCACTAGGACTCCAAGGTCCCTCTCACAGTTACTGTTTTTAAGCCAGGTCTCACCAAATCTGTATTTGTACCTTTGGTTTTTCCTGCTTAAATGTAAGACTTTGCTTTTCTCCACACTGAAACTCATTTTGTTGGATAGGGCCCATTGTTCAAGTTTGTCAAGATCTTTTTGGATCCTGAGTTTGTCTTCTGGGGTGTTGGCTACTCCTGTCAGTTTGGTGTCATCTGCAAATTTGATGAGTTCCCCTTCAATTCCCTCATCTAAGTCATTTATGGAGATATCGAAGAGTACTGGGCCTAAGATGGAACCTTGTGGTACCCCACTGCTTATTTCTCTCCATGTGGATGTAGTGCCATTGAGGACTACTTGTTAAGTACAGTTTGTCATCCAGCTACAGATCCATCTGGTAGTGATGTTGTCTATTCCACCTTTTCCTAGCTTACCAAGTAGGTTATGGTCTACTTTATCAAATGCCTTACTGAAATCTAAGTATATTACTGCATTTCGCTGGTCTACTAGTTTGGTCACTTTATCGAAGAATGAAATAAGATTGGTTTGGCATGATCTGTTTTTAACAAACCGGTGCTGGCTACTAGTTATGACTTTGTTTGCTTCTAGTTGTTTGCAGATCTGTTTTTTATTATCTTTTCTAGGATCTTCTCAGGTATTGATGTTAAACTGATTGGTCTGTAGTTTCCTGGGTCCGTTTCTTTTTCCTTTTTTGAAGATGGGGAGCACATCAGCCTTTTTCCAATCCTGGTACTTCCCCGGTGCTCCAGGATTTATGAAAGAAGTGATAAACTAGCAGAAGTTCAAAAACTTTGAAGTATAATACACTGAAAGAAACCTGATTTTAAAACAAAATGTTGTACTCTTTTCTTTCTCATTTCCTGTGTTCATAAATACTCTATTATTTCAGAGGAGAAATCTTGATTTTATATTTTTTACAAGGGTAGAAAATGTTTCCCATATTTTACAGGTTATTTTGGGGTGGTGTAGAAGATTTCCTATGAAACAGAAGGATTGGATCAATGCTATTCTCCATTGTGGAAGATAAGCAGGTGTTAATAGTATGATCTGCTTTCTATTTGCACATATAAGACAGATATTCTATATCTACGCTTATAAAAGGTTACTGTACTTCAGCACTGACTGTGTTTTTTATGCAACCATCCCTGTTTCTGAACCTTTTATCTGTATCACTACTCGTAACAATTAAGATAAAGAGAATTAGCATAACTTCCTAGTTCAACACACGCAGAGGGGAGGATGAATATTGGCATGTTAGAGACAATACCTCACTTAAGATACCTGGAAGGAAGACTAACTGCTATTGACAAGAAATGTCATTGGGCTGTCTCTAGGTGTTGTACTCTAGCAACAGTGCCTTACATAAAGTATCTTAGGCAGTAGTTCAGCTGGCTAAGTTATGATTTAGGAAGATGGTACGCAGCTTTCAGCCAGTTCCAGCTTGTCCACTATCATTCTGGAAGTTTCTGACAAACTGAAAGAACACAGACAGGACTATTTCCTTTTCATCTGTAACTGAGTTTATTCCTAGTAAAACTTGTTGGCATTCACACAAGTTTGAGCTTATTGTCACTGAATCCTAGATCTGGTAGCAGCACTTCTTAAATGGAAATGGAAATAAACAAGGCCTGTACTACTTGGAAAACAGCCCTGGGATTTTTGGATAATAAAACTATAGAGCAAAGAATGATAAGAGATGTAAGTCAAAAGGCCTCACAAATTGGAGACTAGCCATCTTCTCTCAGATATTACCAAGGCTGTAGAATTTCAGAGAATTTCTCTGAATTGCCCATATCTACTTCTGAAACTATTTTAATTGGACGTGTGTTTAAAGAGAACAAAAAGGTAAGGAATCAAGCCAGTCTCCAGAAGAGCAAGATCAACATTTGTCTTCATTCTGCAGTTCCTTAGCTCATCTCCCCATATCACTCATTTCTATTTTATTTTTGGGTTCACTTCAAATGTACTATACCTTCTCACACAATTGGCTGAAATTCAAGGCTTTGAGACAGAAGATTTTCTCACTGAACAGAGATAGACATTTGATGCTTTAAAACTTCTCATAATTTTTTAAAGCAATCTTTGTATTTTATTTGACAAATATTCTCTTTTTAAGCATTTTTTTCCAAATTTAATTTGAAAACTTTGGAAGGTTTAGGTAATTCATAAAATCTGTGCCAGTTCATATCTTCCAGAGAATTTTAAAGGATGCAAGGGAGGGAAATTGACTGAAAATTGCCCCCCAGTTCACCAATATATGCCATTTTCACTGCCACCAGAAAATCCTCCAGAATTATTGTCAGAAACAGGCTCTAGTGAGGAAAACAATCTTGCGCAACAAAGTAAAACGTAATCTTGACCTGCGGAACAGGTAGATGAGGTTCTTGTTGTTGTTTTTTAATCCCAATAACTAAACAAGACTTTGTTGTACGTTTTCTATGAAAGGCTTATACAGGAACACTTCTGTCTGCAGAATCAGAGGCAAATGTAGAAGACCACCAAATGCTTACCTCCCCATTATCTATGACCACAACAGAAGAAGTTTGACCGCAGGCAATGCTGACTGCTACCTTAGCCTGTAAACAATTGGAGACTCTGCGAGGAGTTGGCTGATTTGCAGTTGATCCTGACCCAACTTGTCCACAGTTGTTATAGCCCCAGGCATATACCTTTTAATAAAGGATGAAAAGGGAGAGACACCAAGAAACATACCACAAACCTTACTACATGAGCAGAAACATTTTCCCAAAGCATATACTGTTTAACAGTGCAGGTACCAAAATAATTCGTTTTATAAGCCACAGACAAGTAGCATGGCCATTTATGATATACTTCAAAATACTGATGTGATTATTATTCTAATTGCTGGCAACACAAAGCCATTGATATGGGAGTCTCTTCTAACACACTTGGCTAATGAAAGAGTATACATATTACCTTGTACCATATAATGCTTCTAGGCAAATCTTCAGTTAGAAAGCGAACATTTTTCTGCAGGAAATTAGGGACCCAATCAAGAGGGATCCCATTTGGAATCAATGCCTGTTACTACTTTTTTTCCCTAAAGACAGACACTTTAAATACAGCTTTACAAGTTAAATGTTCAGCCCTGGATGAAGGAATGGCCCAGATTCACTGGATAAAGGAAAAGGCAGACATCAGCTTTGAATTGTTTGCCTTCCTCCCAATGCCAGACTGCATTTTTCTCGGCTTCTAGCATTCACTGGTAGAGGATGGACAACACAATCTTCCTCCTCTGATTTTACCTGACTTCTCATTCTAAGGTAGGGCCCATGCATTAGAGATGGGTTGCCTTCTATCCACCAAGTCTTTTCTGCATTTTTCAAAAGGGAAAAAAGGAAGGAAAAGAGAGGTAACTGTATTCTACCTTAAAGAAAGCCCCAAATATGCTTACAGCAACATGAGGGCACATTTTCTTTTCTTCCTAATTCTTCTTCTAACAAAAAAAAATCTGATAGTACAAGCCTGTGTGCTTATTACTGTTAGATGGCCAAATTCTTATTACTAGAGGAGGAAGAAGACAATAAAAGAACACACTACACACCACTATGATGCATGGGAAGGAAGGAAGGAAGGAAGGAAGGAAGGAAGGAAGGAAGGAAGGAAGGAAGGAAGGAAGGAAGGAAGGAAGGAAGGAAGGAAGGAAGGAAGGAAAACAGAAAAAACAGCCTTCAACTCATGAACAATGATAAAAGGTAAACTGCTTGGCAAAGGTTATAGAACTTCCGTACTAGGCAATTTTCAAAGATTTATATCTGATATCTTCAAAACTTAACTGTAAACTTTCAAGGCTTGAAATGGAACAATATCCCCTTTGTGCAAAACAACAAACCCTAGTACCTGTCAAGTATGAAATTAAAGAGGCTGTCTCACAAAAGAGACCCCAATGCTTGACAATGTTGTCCCAGAACCAGACACTTTCCTTAAAGGCATAACCACACAATTTAAAGGAGCCAAGTTCCAAATTTCTGCATCTATTTTTCTGAAACTGGACCTCTTCTTACTAAAACGGGTCTAGTATATCTATAAAGTTTATTCTATCCAGCTGAAAAATTAGAAATTACAGCACTTATTATTTCCCAAGCAAAGGGGAAATTCAAGCATCATTATTTCAAGTTTCATTTTTGAATCAGAAAGCCTCCTATTGAATCAAAAGAAAATAGGTCACTGTCTCACAGGGCACTGCATCAAGGAAGCCCATTCAACTTCTATTTTTATAGATGAAACCTTGTTCTTTTTTATTGTTGCCACTGAATATTTGCACAAAATATAAAATCCCCATGAAATCAGATTGTCAACAGATAGCTGATTTCCTCTATAAAGATAAGAATTTTTATTGTTAAGATAAAATCTGAAATATTTCATTAAGAAAACACAGATTAATGGTAGTATCAATACCCTTTCTTCAAGGACAATTTTCAAACATTTACCAAACAAAAGTACATTCTTAACAGCAAAAACCCGAAGAGCTAGTTAGAAAAGCAGAACTTACATCTCCATCAGCGGATAATGCAAGAGAATGGTGGGAACCACAAGCTACTTCGGTTACTTTCTTAATGAGCAAATTAGTAGAAATCTGAATAGGCGTCACACCCTGGTTGGTTGTCCCATTCCCAAGCTGACTATATCCATTATGTCCCCAGGCATAAACTTCACCATCTACCCAAGAATAAACAAAAGTAACGATAGTGAAACATGCAATTAGGCAACATTTGTACACCTACTCAGACAAAACAAGTTTATTGTATTTTAATAGTCACTTTTATTATGCTTGGTCAAATAGCCAGTCAGATATGTACACTAAATTTGGCTTTTTTATCTACCTATTATGATTATTAGGGTCATTCCTCTAATTTTATGGGAGGATAAGGCAGTGGTACTAAAGAACCTGAATGAATTGGCATTATTTGACTGGGAAAAAGTTAAACAGCAATTAGCATGCACATTAAACGCGCACACACGTTCTTTCTGCAGTGTAAAGAATGTAAATGAGCAATATACTCTCCATTTTAAAGCTTATCACATACATTTATCCATGTTAAACATCACAGTTATTTTAACCAAGGAACTTCATTATACAAAGATCTGACTCTCTTGAGAAGTTTATAATGCTACAAAAACTGGAAAGAAAGAAGAAAGAGGATGACCAGAAACAAGACGGATGGTTGAACTTAGTTGCAACAACAATGGGTGCATGGTTGGAAGATCTGGAGCTAGGTGGAGGACAAATCATCTTACAGGTGGGGGACAAATCATCTATTGGTTGATAAGAGTTGACAGCAACTTGATGGGATATAATTTATCAATCAACTAAAGGAACTTAAATGAGCATATGTTATCCAGCATGATGGTAAATTAAACTTCCAACAGGCTTTAAGCATGCACCTACTTTAGTTTTAAAAACCTAACTTCTAAATACATGTTGACACAAGGAATGTTGTCACACCATATAATATTTAAAAAAAATTAAAAAGGAGTGAACATTCAATTTCTGTCTCCTGTGGAGATATAATTATGCTGCCACCACCCTATGATCCTCAGTCACTGAGAGAACCTCACCCAAAAAAGATGCAGCCCCTGGCTGCAAAAGGTCTGTCCAGCCTAGTTCAGGAGAAGAAAAGTGGCAGATGCAATTCACACCGAGATGACGGGCCCCAGTGACAGTGGGCAGACTCCCTCACTACAACCATTTTTGCATGTTCCAGTTCCCTAACTAAGAAACATGTGCTTAGATTTGCCTCTCTAATACTGCTCAGAAAAAGTTTCCCACCTTCTGTACTAAGGATCACATGAGGCCCACTTCCATAGCTAAGACTGCAGATCCTCTTTCCACATAAACTTTCAAGTTTTTTTGGTACAATAGTACTCTGATTATCTCCAGTTCCCAGACAATTACTGCAGTTTAGTCCAAATACAAAAACCTGAAAAAAAAAAGCAAAAGCAATGAGCTGACATGGATATGTTCATTTATGGCACATTAAAAAATAATCTAAATTGACTTTGTGGTATATAACAAGATTTGTAATGAAACCAAAATTTATAATAAACATGGAATAAGGTACGGATAGAAGATAAATCAGGTTTAAGAGTCTATACATTATTTCAAATTCAGGCAGGCTATTTGGAAGTGTCTTGGGCTTAAAACAGTTTCAAGCTGAAAATGCTTCCAAATGACCAATTGACTTTTTCTCCGTTTTACTTTGAATGGTGGAGGATAGATACATAATGACATAAGTGGGTCTGGATATTTATGATCTTCCTATCAAACCCAGGGACCATCAATATTCTATCCCCTCAGAATGAAATGCTTTGTGGTTGAAAGGATTGAAATTTACATTATGTTATAATCTTAAAGAGAATTTTTATAAAATGATATATTGTTGGTATCTGTCACCAGAAAAATTATCTAGAATGTATAAAGGTACTGAAAATTTATGTTGGAAATATAAACAAGAGGAGAAATTTTATTATGGTTTATGGATGTGCAAAAAATAAAAAAATGGACTTAATTATATATATTAGTTCATAAGATTTTAAAAATTATTATACAATTGAAAGTAGAGGCTTTGCTTTTGGGACTGATCAATAAACACTTGGGAAAAAGTCATGCAACTTTTTCATACATGATACCTGCAGTGAGATTTATATACACAAAGGTAGAAAAAAATTGTCATTAGCCACAACGGAGGAATGGATGGTGAAGATGGGACTTGCTGAGATGACCAAATTGACAACTTTAATCAGACAAAAGATATTATCTAAGCTTAATGCTGACTAGAAATCCCTTATGTTTTTGCATGAAAATAGTTTTGATGATTAGAAAATAACACAAAAATGTAAGTCATGGTTTAACCATAGAGTAACAGAGTAACATCTATACTTACAACAGTTATTAAGAAAATCAGAAGTTAACTTCTTTATATTTTTTTTCTTGCTTGCTTTTTGCTCCCCCCCTTTTTTTCCTTTATTCTAAATACAGGTAGTCCTCAACTTACAACCATAATGGAGCCTATCCATTACAGTCATAAACCATGATTGTTGTTAAATGAGGTGCCCATGTTGTTTAATGAGGTGCCATGTTGTTAAATGAGGTGCCTTGTTTAACCATCCCAATCCCTGCTCTTCCCTTTGCAGCTATTAAGTGGAACACAAGGTGCCTTAGAGATGGGGGAGGGCCTGGGAAACCTAGCACAGGCCCAAGGCCCGCACTGCAGCACCTACCAAGCCCAGTGGATATTTACAAAAAAATGGACATCCAATCCCACAATTAATATGCTAAAATAAGATTTCACTGAAATAAATAAAGAGACAGCATCAATTCAACTGGTTGATGTCAAAAGCCTCAGCATATATTTCATGTTTAATATTTAAAGGAGAGACCAGTAGGAATATTAAAGCTATGGAGGGAAGGGCGGAGGAAGAAGAGGAGGAGGAAAACTGTTGCCAACAACTACATGGACAGGCCCATCAGGAATTAAGCTTAGTCTACAGAAACTATATCTATCTGAAGTCTTGAATGAAAAAATAAGAGTCGTTCAGTATGTTAAAAAACCCAGTTCTTTGATGGATTTGTTTAAAGACCAAACCTTCCATGCAAAGTATTTTATTGCTAATAAAAAGCTTTAAAAAAGGTGTGCTAAGATGTCATCTTCTACAGTGTAGCTGCAACATATCTTTAATAGTATCAGTTCAATATTGGGCATCATGCTTGGAAAAACATGGCATAGCATGTCTTTGGCATAACATAGACCCCAATAACATTCAATATCCAGCAAACTGTGCATGAATGAGATTTTTATTTAACTGATTTGGGGTTGCCACCAAAGTCTCCCACTAATCTTGTATGTGTTTTATGTTTAATTATTTTCTGTGTTTTCACGTAGCAAAATAGCTATATGTAGCTACTTTTGTACAAAGTAGCAAAGTAGCTTCCTATAGCAGAGTTTGAAGTACTTTCTTAACCTGCAGTGACTCATAACACTTGGATAATTATTCATTTTAAGATCACTGATCTAATTTTAGTTTTTATTTATTTCAACTTACAGAAAGGAGAGTTCCTGGCTGCTTTCTGGTTTGAAACCAGTCAGATCTTGTAAAGTTGCCCTTAATATATGGGTGAGTGACCAAAATATATTTTATTTAACACCTGATGCAGACAGTAATAACAGTCCCCATACAGACATGTCCTTTTGTTAGAGGACAGAAGTGTGTCTCTGTGATTTGTATTCTAACATGTAAAGTAACTTGCTCTTGTCAGGTGTAGATTACCTTGGAGAAGCAATGCAACAGTCAACAACATGCTTCAAGCCCAAAAAAGAAAGAGAAAGCTTGAAAAGAAACTTAAGCTGACTTAGCCTTAACTCCTTTGGGAATCAGAGGAAGGGAAAAGCAAACACGACCAGGCATTTCAAGATTCTGTTGCTATTGCCTATCTCAGTAAAGTAGAGACTGATCACTCTTGAGCGGTCTGTTTCCTGACTTGGCCACCTTGAAGGGCTGAAGGAGGTTTGGCCACAATAACCTCCAAACTTGTTTTAAAAGAAATAACCTCAGGTGTTAAAAATTGTAATCTTTAATGTGAAAGAGAACATTCTTTTGTATTAAAAATCATTAAGTATATTGAATTATTATATCTAAATAAAACTAAGTCACAATTACTTTTTTGTTCCACTCCTTTTTTCATATGCAACACCTGGCCTATCACTCAAAATTTAAAGATGCCTTTCAGCACAGAAAAAGATGTGTGCATTGGCCCACTCTCCCATAGCAATGTAAGAGTAAGGCAGCTCAACATACATCCGTATTTTGAACTGGGATTGTCTCTCTCTCTCCCTTTCCCTTCCGTCTTCTACCAAGTCATTAATTTTCCAATGCTTCTCAATCCTCCCACTGTCTATCTGAATGGACTCTAGCTTCCTTCTTTATTGTCCCACCATGCATGGTCTGGATCAGCCTCTAGACCTCCTGTCTGCTTAAAACTCCATGGATTCCTGGAATCAAGCTGCTTAGAACAAGCTACTTCTCTCCCCCATCCCACCTCTAAACAAGAAATGTCACACAACTCAAGCATTAAACAGAGGCTCACAGCTTAAATCCACTGACATTAGTGGCCCCTCATTAGTTTTCTAGGGGACCATCGACACTTTAGGATTTTTGCAGAAAGCAACTCAACTCAAGTGTCTTTTAGTCCCACTCCAGAACACAGCAGTTTCATCCTGTGGTCTCCTCCTGCTAGACCTCTGCTGAATAGAGAGGGAGGAAATAAGTTCTTTCATGAGAAATTCTTGGGTACCCCCAACAGCCAGAGAGAGAAGGCACCAGGTTAATTTCCAGGATGTTAATGTATTGGACCAGTTGCAAATCCAAGGCACTGAACATCTATGCAAACAAACTACACAGACAGGAAATCTAAAAGTAAAAATCACAGAACAGCCTTCCCAACCCTGATTTTCTCCTTTCCTCCTGGTATGTCCTAGCTGCAGGCTACAGTACTTTGTAAAAAAAAAAAAAGTGCAGAAATGGAGATGTGTGGCAAAGAAAGAGCAGCAATCTGGACTGGACTTCATGGGAGAAATTCATTGCACCCTTGGCTTCAGATTCAGAATGGAGTCCTATTGTCTATTCCCTGATGAAGCCCTCCATAGAGATATGAACACAGGACACCTTCTGGGGAAAAAAGGGTTTTGTTTTGGAGTTACAGAATTTTTGTTCTGTAATTGTATACAGGATATTTGAAAGCAAATAAAAGTAGAAAGTGAATCCTACCTGTGGCTACTTATTTTATAAAACCTTGTTTTCTGAGGCAAGAGAAGCATATTTGCTCAGTGGAAAGTACTCTATGCTCAGTTTTTTCCCCGGTCACAAATATTAATTTTAACAAAGAACAAAGAAACTGCAATATTCATCTTCTTTAAACTCTGAGATTTGTGTTTTAAATACTGATTAATTATACAGGTATGCTATTGCAAACTTAAAACAAAAGTTTGCTATTTTTATATTACCAATAGATATTAAAACAATGTTATAGGCCAGTGGTTCTCAACCTTTTTAATGCCGCGACCCCCAACCGGTCGTAAGTCGAGGACTAAACTGGTCGTAAGTCGAGGACTAAACCAGTCGTAAGTTGAGGACTAAACCGGTCGTAAGTCGAGGACTACCCAACCGGTCGTAAGTCGAGGACTTTCCCTGCCCGGGAACGCCACGCATGCGTGGTTCCGCCCCCTGCGCCAGCCGAGGCGTAGCTGGCAAGCGGCAGAGACGGAGCAGGCCGACCACCAGCTGGCCCAGCTCAAGGGAGGTAAGGCAACCGCCGGAAAAGGGGAAAAAAATGGCGGACAGCCTTGCTTGGCGACCCCCGTGAAATGGTCGATCGACCCCAAATGGGGTCACGACCCATAGGTTGAGAACCGCTGTTATAGGCAGAACACATCTATGTAAGTACTACCTACTACTTACCTCATCACTGTGGGTAATGTATATAGCTTCATTGGCAGATGTTCCAAATACACATGCTTTTCGAATAGTTGCAATTTCTTGAGGTGAAAGCAATGTAAATATAGGCCACTTCCCGACCTCCATCATAATTTTGCTGGAGGAATATGTTATTTTATCTGTCATTTAAAATGGTTTCATGGTATTCTCTGAAAAAGAAGGGAATCAATCAAGTATGAATAAACTCCATTT